GAAGTCACTGACCCAGGATTCGCTGACCAAAGATGAAGTCACTTTCGTGGTTAACAAGGTGAGGGAAAGTGATAATAACCTGGCCTTTCTGTGCCTTGACAGTCGATCTTAAAGCAACATGAATTATACAGCCTTTCTAAGTGATCGTTTTTTTTAGTTTAAGTAAGTGTTTCACAGCACTTGCAACACAATAAGGTCATATACGTGCCGAAGATTAGAGGTGTTACAAGAGAGTAACAAACACAAAAAAGAAAAAGGGGAGATAAAGATGATAGATGTTTGATAGGAAAGAAGAAGCAAACCACACCAGAGCACCCGCCAACCACCCGCTTCTAAGTGATAGACACAAAGGAATTTAGTAGACTGCTCAAGCACTATTACTTCCCTTTCTTCAGATCTTGACTTCCATGATGTGCCTCAAAGGAGCCCCATAGTCAATACTTTTGGAAGTAAAGAAGGTTCGAGGGTGTAAGCAAATCACAATTACAGATAATAATAATAATAATAATAATAATAATAATAATAATAATAAAAATAATAATAATAATAATAATAATAATAATAATAATAATAATAATAATAATAATAATAATAATATATAACATTTATATAGCGCATTTCCAAAAAAGTAGCTCAATGCGCTTTACATTGGAATACCCATTTTTCAAAAACCTTTCTTACTACTTCCTTTCTTCTCATGCAATATACATTAATGCACACACACACATACACACACACACACTCACACACACACACACATACACACACACACACACACACACACACACACAGAGAGAGAGAGAGAGAGAGAGAGAGAGAGAGAGAGAGCGAGAGAGAGCGAGAGAGAGAGAGAGAGAGAGAGAGAGAGAGAGAGAGAGAGAGAGACTATTTTCATCCAGACATAGGAACAGAACAAATATAATGAAAGATAACGTTAAAAGCTTATGAAGGAAAGGCCTGTAGGAACAGAAAATGTTTAAGATGTCTTTTGAAGCTATCAAGTGTTCTTATTTGTCTTAGTTTCATGGGTAATCTGTTCCACATAAATGGACAGAGATGCCTTTTACAATTTGATAGAGGAAGAAGTCTGTTGCAAGTATAATGTTTTCTCTCTTAAAATTCCGTGTCAAGAAACAGCTGAATATATCACCAAAATCCCACTATATTGGAGCAGAAAAGTCATAGCTTTGTTAAAAACCCACAACCTTCCATTAAATAACAATCTCTATCGGTGGAAATTAACTAATTCGCCCTTATGTGAGAGGTGTAACTCTCATGAAATTGAAGATGAGTTTCACTTTATTTTCTATTGTTCACACTTTGTCCATCAAACTAAATTGCTATCATCATCATCATCATCATCATCATCATCATCATCATCATCACCATCATCATCATCATCATCATTGTCGTCGTTATCATTAGGTTCTGGAAGAGACAGATTTGGACGATGATGAGATGCTGTCCTTCATCGAGTTTGAACACGTGATATCCAGAGCTCCGGAATTCTTGAAGTAAGCGAAAACAAAGCTATACACATGAGTCTTTAGTGAATCTAACGAAACTGTCCAATTAACCATTTATGAGGCAGCGTGGAGGAATCAGGCTCTCGTCAATTTCGGGGCATGTAGAGTTATTGGTATCATCTTAATGCTTGTTCAATTGTCTTTATTTTGAAGAAAACAATATCCATTTATCTAGAATGCAAGTCGAAATATCTGCGAAAGAGGGAGGTGGAGGTCAGCTGTTTTCAGAGGTAAAAATAGTGAGAAAATGGCCACCAAAGATTATTTCCTTAACTTAAGAGTTCGTGGTAATTGAAAATTTACTTTTTTTGTGCCTTTAATCAACGTTTTTCAGAATAATTTTCTCATAAATGAGTTCTTTAATTGGCATGAAAGGTGTTGAGGCAAAAAAAAATTTGATAAAAATTCATAAACCTGCGGAAAACAGCAACTTTCTAAACTTTGGTTATTTTGACGAGAGCCTGATTCCACCACGCTGCCTCACATTTAGTATAGCTCTTTAGCGTCGGTGTTTTACCCTAAATCTGTGTGTGTCTAGGGCACTGATTTTGCAGATGAGGGGGAGAGACAAAAAAGGTAATTTCTTTCTTATCATTTTATATCAGACAAGCTGGGCCCCCTTTCGATGAAAGGAATAATCGGTGCTTTAACATCAATTAAAAGTCATTGGCCTACTGTATTTACACTCTACTGGAATGGGACAATAAATCTTGAGAGATACAAAAAAATTTAAGGTCTAGATCTATACTCTCAAAACAAAATGCGCCTCGCGAAATATCACTTCCGGATTTTCTAAAATTACTAAGACAGAAGCTTCGGCCTACAAAAGAGATCGGCGAAATAAAGAAGTTTAGCTTTTTGCAGCAAAACTGTCTCAAAACTGAAAAAACGAAGGGTGCCATGATCTGGGGAATATTTTAAAGAATATTTTGGCGAAAACCGCATGTCGATCGATACAGCCATTAAAAAGCCTTTTGAATAGCAAAATTCGGCCACCACAAAAAGATAATAGATTTGGAAAAAAATATCTGGTATAGTGTCCTTCTTAAATGTGAGGAGTGCTGACAAAATAAGTTGCTTCTCGCGATCTAAGAATGGAGATTCCAGCCGAAAATCAACTTTGGGGTCAGATTTACAGATTTTCAGTAGATGCCATTTTGTTCAAGTCTGCCGTGTCTTTTATTATTCCATACTAACAAATTGTACAAACTTCCCCTATAAAATTGATGTATCAATTTCCATGCGGCTAAAATCGGAATGAAGTAACTCATTTTGTCAGCACAACTCGCTTAAGTTATTGTATGTTGGTGTTTTGGACCTATATTATATATTATAATTTAAAATGGCAGCTTGCACTGTATGCTTCCCAGGAAGTTAAGATTGTTTTCGAATGCTGTCAGGTCTCGTGGGGTAATAATATTTTAGATTATAAAGAGCACAGAGCTTGCTGTTGAGCGGCAGATGACGCTATACAAATGCTACCTATCTATCGTTGTTATATCGTTGTTACCAATCGTAACTGAGGTGATGAATAACACAATTTGAGACAAAAACAAGTCGCTACCTTTAGAATTACAATTGTTCTATATGGCATGTTTGGTCATTTTGAGTAACTATGACCATGGAGTCAAAACCAAACGTTACTCAGTGGTATTCTGAAGCATGATTTAGAGGTAATATGAATACTTATAACACGATGAACACGTGTATTTGGATTGGTGCGCAACAGAAACTGGCTCTGTGGCTTACATGGAAGTGGTTATATTTTTTTCCACATTTCCTGTAAACGCGTTTTGTAATTAATTTGTCTAAGTGAAGTACCGTAACCAATGGCGGTGGGTGAACCTAGATTTGGGTGGGGCTTAGGTTTCTTCCACTTCTTTACCATCAAAAAGCAAGCAATAAGAACAAAACAGTGATGATTTTTCTATATTCACGGCGAGCCACGGTATTTTGAGAACCATTCAAACGAGAAGAGTCACCTTTGTCTGCAATCGCTTTGTTCTACGTTAAAATCTTCTGGATGGTGGGGACGAAGCCGTTGGACCTCCAAATTTCTCTAATTAGTTTTTATTTGATTATTGTTTAATCTCAGCGGCACAAACTCAAAGCACTCCAAACACATACCGTCTATGAGGTGGATTGGGTCGTGTTGTTGCAGAAAATAGAACGCGCCTAACAAAGGCCCAATGGGCGCATCACAGGTAACTGTGTCACTGGGGGAAAGTGTGTCGTAAACTTTCACCCCATTGTCAGGGCTGGGAGAGCGCGAGCCTTCAGTGCAGTGTTATTTTTTCCCAGTCTTCTACCTTTTTACAAGAGGGGTTTCATTAAGGAGAGACCGTGGGAACGGGCTGGTTGATTGCTGAGTCCTAAGGACATTTGACTGGCTGTTAGGTTACTATAGTTGTAAGCGGGGACAACAGTGATTGGATAAACGAGCAAGCCGCCTAGTTGATCACTCTGTGTTCATTGCGGTCGATCAGAACAGTTTCAACTGCTTATTTCGTTATTTTCATTTGCCTTGGGATAGACTTGGGGGGTGGGGAGGGGGGCTCAAGCCCGTGAGCCCTTCACTACCCACCGCCACTGACCGTAACACGTTATTTAGCAAAACTACATACATGTACATGCGTCGGCTGAAGGCTGGAGGTGACTATGTCCACATCCTTATTTTGAGAAGAAAAAAAATATGGATTGTAGGACAAAGTGCAGTAGGCAACTCTTGAACACAAGTTGAAGACAATGTGGAGCAAACATGGATTTTCTGCCCTGGCCATGCAGGCGTTAAGGGAAATTAAAAAGCAGACAGACTGACTGGCGAGGCCACCTCAGTTAACAGCACGGTTCAACCAGACATTGTTGAGATCCTGAAATGTCTCTCTCGCCATCTGATTGAAGAGGAAGATAAGGAGGCAGAGGCCAGTACTGCTGTGGAGAGTATGGTTCTTTTGGGAACACAAAAAGGAAGCAGAAAATCTGGCGTCCTTTCAGGAAACAACAGAAGAACGTTCAACCAGATATGCACTGGCACAATCAGAAGAAAGACCCTCAGCGGCATTTTGGAGAGAGCAACAGAGCATCAATGAACATGTCCAGAATGCAGGGATGTTGCTTCCTGAAACAATGAACAACGAACAAGGAACACAAACACATCGGGAATTGTGATTATTGCAAAACTACAAAACGATGCCTTAGAAAAGTAGTAAACAAGACTGGGAGAGACAAAACTAGAAACTCAGTAATCAGAGAAATGGTGGGCACAAATGATGCCAGGCATCACATCCAACACCAAAGAATCAAATGGTTCGGACATCTCATGCGATTACTAACACACAATCCAGAACAACGTGCTTTCGATGGCAACAAGGCTAGAGGGCGACCGAGAAAGACCCGGATAGATGGAGTCTGAGAAACATTAACAACTCACGGCATCCCAGTCAGAGATGAGATAGGAAGAAGGCGGTGGTGATGGATTGGGTATACTCTCAGGAAGTCAGGTATCTGCATAACAAAGAAAGTTTTGGATTGGATCCCACGGGGTAAGAGATCAAGGGGAAGACCGCGTGGAACTTGGAGAAGAATCACAGAAATCGATGTACAGAAAAGTGGGAAGACATGGAATAGCATCAAGAGGCTAGCCCAGGATAGAGAAAGGTGGAAGGTGTTTGTCCGAGGCCTATACCCTGGTGCAGGGTGAGAAAGGCAATGATGATGATGATGATGGCATCCCCCTGACCCAAGCTCTCCGACCGGTGGCAGAGAGACGTCTCTTTCTTCCCGCGACACCCAAAAGGGTATAAGCGGTAGATAAAAGTAAAAGTAAAGCAAAACTGCTGGGCGGATTGGCTTCATATTTACGAGTACAGTTTGATGCAACGATGCTTAAATGTCTCTGTTACGCTATTTCTGGCATTTTGTCGAACATGGGCATGTTTGCTTCTGGCTCTAAGTCCACGACATGTGGCAAGTCGTAAGTCTTGCCTTCATCTTACAGGCTGAAAGAATTGTAAACAGGATTAGATCCCTCAAACTTCGGGGACAGTCAGTTTCAAAAGGCATCACGAATGAAATTCTCATTCAAACAAAATATATACCTCATTGGGCACAGATGGCAAAAATAAATCTCCTGAAATCGATAAATAAAAGAACAAAATAGCATGGATGTCCTGAAAAATCAGTATTCCATCCCCCTTTCCCCCTCCCTACTCCTTCCCCATCCCCACTTCACACCCGAAACAGTGTTTTATCTAGAGGTTTCAGCACAATAACCCAATAATAATAATAATAATAATAATAATAATAATAATAAAAATAATAATAATAATAGTAATAATAATAATAATAACAATAGTTCGTTGAGATCTGTAAACTATATTATACATGTATAGGATTTTTTAGGAATTACTTCCGTGATGACTCACTATAACTTGATGCTATTTGTATGCTTTTGACATTTATGAACCCGTAATAGTAAACCAAATTCCATCAAGAATCAACTATATCAGTTCTTGCCAACCTGGGCGGTTTGGTTATTTTGGTGGGCGGTGGGGATCACCCGGGTTGGGATAGATTGTGGGGCTTGATTGAAATCAAGCAGTCGTCAAAATAATGAAATTGGAGAAACAGACACTTTTCCTCCAGTTTGGAAATTTTCATGGATATTGTTTTTTGGGGGGTTTTTTTGCAAGTTGACTTTACCTCTTTTATGCCCTTATAAAACACATTTCCAAGTGAATGTTACAGAAAAACATTTATTAAAGGCACCAAATATTAGATTTTTCAGTTTTCAAAGACTCTTTAGCTGTTGGAGTTACCAAACTTTGGCCACCATTTTCTCGCTAACTTTACCACTGACACCAGGCGACCTCACTTCCTTCAATCGCAAATATTTTGAGTTGTATTCAAGATAAAAAGATACTTCTTTCATTGGGAGCAAGGCAAACAAATCAGCTTTCAGATGATAATTATAACTACACATGCCCAAAAATTGACGAGCGCCTGATTCCATTGCGTCGTGAAACATATTATTTACTATCACACTTGACTTCTACGTTATGTGGGTGGGAAGTATGAAATGTTAAGCCTCTGAAAGGTAGAAAAAGTGGGTTGGCAAGCACTGAATGGTAAGATTTTTTAAAGTTTTAGTAGAGATTTTACACTGCGCTCGCAGTTGCATAATGTCATATGGGCGCCATAATTAGATTTGTTCTTAATCTTTGCCCTTTCCTTTTTTTTTCGTCTACGTCTCCAGCACGTTCCACATTCGGATCTAAGCGATGACGAAGACCAAGCTCTGATGTACCCTCAGACGAACCGCCAAGTGGATTCACCAGCAGAACGATGACAATAGATGGCAATGTGAAGTTTTCGCCAAAATGTTTGGCACCAATAGCACTTCTCAAAACTTCTTTAAAGCTTACCTGTCGCCGAAAACGTAGCAATCTGTCATTCTACAAGTGTTTAGAACCAATAGCACTTCTCAAAACTTCTTTAAAGCTTACCTGTCGCCGAAAAAGTAGCAATCTGTCATTCTCCAAATTGGTCGCTTTTAAGGACAAGCGGGCTTACCCAGATATCGGTGGTTACCAGAAATCTTGACCCACACCAAAAGTGGGCATTGCCCTATCTATAGGAGAAGTTTGATTTCAATGGTGTGTATATATGTTTGGTTATAGAGAAAACTCTCCTTGTCTTTTAAAGAAACTGAACAAGGGTTCAAACCCTTTACCTTCAATTTTCTCAAAACAGCATTTTTCGGGATAGCCCCCTTGTGCTTAAAAGTGACCAATTATGAAACTGACCTAATAATAAAGGATAAATTTTGAATGTAACGCATTTTTGAAGTCTCAAGAACGGAATCTACGAAGAAAGCAGGAACTTGAATACATGTTTATAACCTTCAGCTTCCACGCTTTCATTTTCTGTCTGGGTTCACAGATTCTCTCTCTCTCTCTCACACACTCTCTCTCTC